TGCCATTACCACTTTATTATCTGGATGAGTGTCTGGTAAAATAATTAGTTTTCTGATTATACATCAGTCATACAATATAAAATATACTAAAGTTATTCAAGTTAAAGAATATAATTAAATAACGGAAAATAATGAAGAAAGGAAGGAAAGACATGAAGATGACTGTCTTCTCTGTTATAGTGCCATGTATTCTGTTTACCCACGTTTCAGAGGCGTTTGCTGCTTACATCATCAGGAGACCCATTGTCCAAATGATAGATACAGCAAACAGGTCTGAAGGTTGGTTAACATTTACCACAGCACACGGCTCTGCAGCCGAGAAGACTCTCCGCCATGAGAACCTTGAATCCTACTACGAAGGACATGTTGGAACTTTAGTGTGTTCAACAGAGTACACGTTTCAGTCTTGTTTATATTATTCTTTTATCTGTGCTCAAGTATCGCGTAGTTTTTTTCCTTCATATGTTCAGACTGAAATTCGGTATGTACAGAGTGGGCCGGCGTACAGTCGTAATTTTTGAGAGATAAGTGGTTGCCATTATTGAGGAACACTATAACAAAGTTTCAGCTTAAAATAACACCCGTCAAATGTCGTTCATCAAGACCGATGCACTGATGTACTCGTTTCATAATATTTTACGTTGCACGCAGTAACATTGCCGGTGTTATGTCATTGATTTCTTTATAACTTCTCCGTTTCGGGTTATTAAATTTGGCCGCTCATGTTTCAAACACTTTGCTTTTCATCTAGGCCCACAGAAATAAATCACAAGTTGACACCGTGTGAACGGGCTGGACAAGAAATGTCTCCGTAGCGGGAAATTATTCGAAGATTAGACACAGTCTTTAAAGTGTTAATCGACTGCTGAAGAGTAAATTTCGTGTTCACTTTTGTGTATACAAACGTTACGGAATAACACGCTACTTTCATCTTCAAGTTTGAGTATCAATCTTTCAAACACACACGACTCAGCCAATGCAGAAGTCACAATCTTAAATCACTTCATCTTGAAAATCTGAAATCTCATGTCTATAAATATAATAGAATCTCGTATCTTTCATGAGACATTGTAATGCTATGCTCTGCACAAGAGTTTGAACACACGCCAGAATTATCCTAGACATATAAGATGATGATGATTCAATTATTTATTATTAGTGTGCTGTATCCACAACCAGGAGGCCAATTACAGATACAACACAATAACAAATGTTAATAATATAAATAACTGTTATTATAATAATGGTAACTGAACTAACAATAATTATTATTAAAAAATTTTAATTTTTAAATAAAGTCCTAATTTTTCTATAGTAGTAATATTGCACTATGATAAGAATAATGTGGATAAAAGGATTACTGTGTAACGATTTATCAGAAGTGAAACATGTTACAGTGGCGTGCAGTTGAACTTAGCACGTCACTTGGGTTATCGGTCAGCACATTACTCGTGTCACGCACTTGTCACGTGAAATCATATTCTGCAAGATGTACGCAATTTAATGAGCATTGTTAATGCCACGCTTATATTCTTGTTAATAAGACTCGTATAATAATGTAAGAAATCTGACAACTTATATTACAACTATAAAAATATGAACATCTCCATAGTGCACTTTCGAGATAACAGCTTTTATAATATAAAACCTCTTTTATTCAAATGAATTTCTTAATTTTAGATGTTTATTTCATTTTCTATATTTATTCGTTTCTGACACCTTTATTGTAATATTGGTAAAGTATATTTGCCCCTGTGCTTAGGCATAACATCATAATGATTATGGGGCGAGAGGAGGCATAGTTCCACAAATTCTTCACCTCGGCACTGGATTTATGTGCTTTGTTAGTTACATGTCGCTGACTTTACCGCTAGGAAAGAATCCACTATTAATTAATTATGAGCCTGTCTACAACTACCTAAAAGCATGGAAGAAGATGTCTGGATTTTTATATCATCGGGGAGTGCGGCATGCGTGAAAGGGAAAAGAAATGTAGTGACAATTTCGGTCGAAAAATTTGACATAAAGACTTATAAATTGATGGGTTGGCAATATTAAAATATATCTTTTAAATAGAGTGTCATTTTGTCGAGTACATCAATCTGGCATAGAATAAGAACACATGACAGATACTTGTGAAATTAACATTCCATTAAAAGTTGGGCATTTATTCATCAAATGAGCGACTCTGATGTTCTGAAAAATGTACTCTTTCTTGGATTTAATTCTCGTCCAAAGTCATTAAACGCTAATTTTTCTTTTGGTATATCTGAGATAAAAAATGTTTTAAATTTTACTGTCTTTTTCTTCTACAATTTCCCCAAACTCTTTCATGGGAAGTTTGGAAAACTAACGCCTGAACTGATATCTGTTTAAAGTCAATGTTGATATCTGCTGCCTAATGATCCAACAAAACATAGCAGTTATCAACGTGAGTAACGAAACTGAGTCATGGTAGAGTTTCTCGGGGTTGTGCCATTTTCTCAACTTCATTCCATCTATTCATTCCTATATCTCACTCTTTATAACCAGCATCAACCACGCTAATTACCGCTGTAATTAAATTTCGTATCATTTCATCATCAAGCTACGACTAGGCTGACAAAGTTTAAATGGTGTCAAATGCTTTCGTCATTCATATCTTCAGCGGCGATAATATTATGCTTTCAAATGAACTGAGATTATTACCAGACACGTCTAGATTAGTAGTGGTTGAACAGATGTGTTACTGGGGTCTGTATAGTGGAAAGTATCAAAGATATTTGTATTTCGAAAACGCGAGTGAGGAAATGACAAGAACAATTTAGCTGAAGTTTGCAACGAATTTCAAAGCACTCAACCCCTTTGGAGAGAAAGCAGCAAGAAGTTGATTACCGGGTACAAGGTAGCGATAGCCAAGTTCGAAGGTCTAAAATGTAGAGACAACATTTCTGTATTCAGTAAAAGAGATCAGAAAGGACCTGTGGTATTTCGCGAGCATCGTGAGTGGTTATTTAGCGAGAAATGAAAATAGCAGCTTTATTATGCTATTAATTGCCAGACACTGACATCAGCGCTGTCATGTTTTAACCACTTTCTAATATAGTTTAGTTGTTCCCCGCTACCATATCAACTGCTGAAGTAATGCAGAATCGATAAAATTACTGTTGAATAACTGTTAATTTTGACGTATCTCAAAGGAAGCGATTGTGTCTATTATACAGTCAACCTCTGATACAGAACCCCTCTGTAGACTCTCGCATTGTCCACAAAGGTCAAGATGAAGAAATGTCTTATGTATTTCCGAGAGAAATCTCCAGTAAATCGCCATCCCGTCTAACCGCAATCCGCCAATATCTTTGGCAGAAAAAATTCACTGTTAAGCATTACAATAAAGTCCATTACAGGGCCATGCTATTACAGTCTTGTCGGTTGTGAAGTCCCAAATATATTTAATAGGGAAACTGCTGTAAACTAATAGTTCTACGTCATCAAGTCAAGCATGCTCAGGCAAGAAACCTCCTGCAGTAATTTAAAAGGTAACCGACCATATGGATGACCATTATAAACATTAACATTAGGCATGGAGACATTTAAACATTTAGGTTTATGAAATTATGCAGAATAAGATAAGCAGAAAATTCAGAACGTGAGGGAGGGATGAAAAATTCGACACTTTCAAAGGAAGACCTAGACGAGATGCGATGATAGTCACTTTCAAACGAAGACCTAGACGAGATGCGATGATAGTTTTAAAATTTATACTTAATACTGCGGTAAGTTGTGTATTGGATTCAGCTAGCTCAGGAGAAGAACCATTGAGGGATTTTATGAACACTGTATGTACAGATGACACCATTAATATGTACACATATATACTTTGGTTGCCGCTTGTCAGTTGCTCACCACTGGTAACTGTGCCACGAAACTAACGGTGGTCATTTTGAGAACCTACAAAAATACTCCAACTCACCATGTGCCAAATCTGACGTATATAATACTTTAGTTTATTATTAAGTTCTTGTTTCTTTCATTGAATATGGTTATACATCTATTTTGTAAAAAATGACTATTAGTTTCTCGAGATGGACTCTGCTACATGAAGCTAGTTGTGCGGGTGACGAAGAACTTCAGAATTCTGTCATATTATTCTTTTTTTAAACTTCATTCACTTTCTTGTCTGTAGTTACGTATCAAAACGTTAATGGTAAGTTCAATTAAGATACAAACATTTATGCATTTACGGTGAACTGTTTTACGTCGTGTTAAATTTTAAGTTACTGTAATTCCTTCTTATCTATTGAATATTTCAGGAGGCGGCTGTTCAGGGCAGGTTTGTACTTTGAATACGTATGCTGGCAATTCCATTGTATGGGTTACTACACCATACCCTGCTCCCCAGCCGTTCATGGGTTCGGCTTACAACAGGACTTCTGGGTGAGTGTAGATTTGATCTCAAATATAGCTCTTGGGATTCACACGTCTCTAGAGAGACCAAAAATACGACTAAACTTTTCCTTTATGACGTTCCTTTCGCGTTGGTCAGTTGTTTCCTTTTACACTTTTTGTCAAGTGGTTGCCGGAAATTTAATGATACATATTTTGGCATTATATCACGGTAATAACATCCACGAAGTGGATCAGTTGAGAATTTGTCTGGGAACGCTTATACTTATAATTGTTTTAAGGACTAATAAACAATACATGAATTTCCTCACTTGAAAACTAATGGAGTTGCTATTAATAAGGTGGATATTAGTTGGAGTTTTTTACTGTGACAACTGCGTGTGAATAAATTAGAAAGGAAATAAATGGGTACTTATAAAACAATTAATTTAGAATAGCCCAATGCCGTAAATAAATAAGGAACTACCGGATTTATGCACCATTCCATATTTTATTTTATAAAAATAATTCCTCATTTTATACAGTAATTACGCACTATTTCCGCTCAAGTCCCTGTCGAAGAATTTTATTCTTATGTTTTGTGTTATACTTGAAACTAAAACCGAAAATCTGTCAGTTCTTTAAATTATTTGTTTACGTCTGTGTTGCAACACATATTAAACATTCCAAAAACTATTTAAGACATTTGTGTTTGTTTACTGCCTATAGGAACTCCTTAGGATATTTTAAGTTGGCAACCGTCTTAGAAAATATAGTATTGAATAAACAAATACAAATTAGTTATTCAGTGTTTTAACTATAGGAAAAAAGGTGAAGTGGTAAGCAATGCATACAGCATGTACGATTTTATATTTGAAGTATTGAAAATACATAAAAAGGCTCTTCTTCAATTTAGCTGCAAAGAAAAGGGCGTTGCCTTTTGACCGTTTTCCGTACACAACCACAATTCTCGCTGAACGGAGCATTCGACTTATTCGTATCTGTACAGTAGATTAGTAATATTTTTATCGCCGTTTCAAATCTGTATTGGGCTGCCAGAAATAAAATAATGGCTGAGAGGCTTAAGTCTGGCGTAGGTTAAAAAAAAGATTAGTGATATTGGCCCATTTATAGATAATGTAGTCAGTTTTAGATCAAGTTTAATATAACGTCTTTCATTCCTCATTATTTAGGAGCGGCAATAAATTAACCTTGAACACGATACTTGCAGTCATGCAATTCATGGCCACTTTCGGATAGTCCAAGTTCCTTCGTATCATGGACACCTCCATCGCGATTCGAAGCGTAGGGGACTATATCATTAATATAGGAAAATAATAAAAAGTAGGATCTGGTGACTAGGAATAAATTATTTGCCGGTAATTTCGCTTCTATCAAATGTGTCCCTCTTAATTTCTTCTAATATTTACTATCCCCGATATTGGAAGAAATATGTCATATATGTAAAATAAGTTATATTATTTTATATTTGTGTTCATGGATATAAAAGCTGATGTCATAGTCTGAAACGTTTGCTGAAACATTATTAAATACAAAATTATTTAATTTTTTATTTGATATTCAGTTTTTTTAACTTATACTGCATATATATTTAATTGGTCATTAGTAAGCCACGTTAGTCTACTTTTGTACAGAATTGCGCCATTGATACAATGGTAATAACTGAGGGTGTATGCATTGATTTTAAAAGTACACCAACCAAGTTTTTACTGCACGTTGGCAACTGTAACTACCATATTTATTTTTCTCTGAGTCCTGGAATCTTGTTTGTTTGCAACCATATTACTTCAGTTTTCTTTAAAGTTAATTTCGTAGAATCATGTGATTTTGCAAGATGTCTAGTTCCTTGTATAGCTGATTGTTTAAGCATCAAAATTCATAGAGATGAGTTTATTACTCTTTTTAATTCTTGAGATACGAACAGCTAGTTTAAGAGATTCCTCAACTTTCGGTTAACAAGAAGGTTTGTTACACTACTCACTGCAACCTCACAGGAATTACGCCCTAAGCCAATTTGATCTATTCCCGACCGTCACAGTGTGTTAGTATTTATCCAAAACCAGTCTTATTATTCTTTCACCTACGGAGAAGTCTACCGATTCAATTTTGCCCATCAGTATTTTATACACGATTATAGCTAATCACCCCATGTTTGCTATGTGACCCACCGATGATATTAACCTTGATTTGATCACGCTAATAATAATTGATAAATATTGAAAATTAAGCATACGGTATACTACCGGGATCACGCTAATAATAATTGATAAATAGTGAAAATTAAGCTTACGGTATACTACCGATTATACATGAGTGATTTACCGTGGGTCTATCTGATTTAATAGGAAACTGAAAATTAATTTATGTTGTAATGTTAGAACGTTTAAAGAACTAATAAAAGCAAAAATTACACATTATTTAACGAATTAAGATAAATCGATAATCGGGAGTCTACTGCTAAATCACAACGAAATTTCCTCCATCCAACTCTTTCCTCATCACAGTTAGGTGCATATATTCTTCTTGGCATCCTATTCTAAAACACCCTTAAGACGTATTCTTCTCTTAACGTGTTTACCAGGTTTCACACTCATAAAACCACACGTCGTACGCTTTCACTGGCACCAGTCGTTATTTGCTCTAACGCGTAGCCGAGTAGACCGTCCACATAACAAACCCTCTGCCGTTCCAATGAGTTTCTTTCATTGCAAAAACCTAATGGAACATCGATTTATCATCTGAGTCAATAAAGGAGGAACGAGGAAGAAATATTTGTCATTTCTTAGCTGCAGAAATAGAAAAGTGACATTGAAACAATTTTATAATTCGTTTGCTGCCTTTTTTATAGCTTATCATTTTACATTCTCGCGTTGAAAATATAAAGATTCGCGATTATTTAATCGTCTGTGGCGATAACTGACACAAGTCAAGTTCGATACATTATTGTTATCCCTCTTTATGCTGGTGTGTAATTGCTTAAAGCGAATAATTCATCTACTTCTTGTAGGCGTAGGGTAATACACAGTAACATGGTTTCCTTTGTAATGGTGCATGGAGCAACCCTTAAAATAATCAAAACTACGTGCAAAATGACGTGTTCTCTCACAGTTTGTATCTAAGCGTTGGTTACTGTTTGAATCCGTCTACATTGACTCGCTTTCTTTGTTTATCTCATATCATGAAATCAATTTATATTTCAACTGTAATTTACCAATCTTATTGGCAATTTGCTTTATAGTGGCCATTTACAAGTTCGAGATGAGGGATTCATATAAAATTATATAAGATATTAAATTGTTAATAAACAGGAATTGAGTCTGTTCAAAAGATAAAATACTTCAAATGATGTAATTTTGAGACATAGGAAACAATGAAACAATGTAATTTTACTGAAAGGATTCTATTTCGTAGTAATTATAGTTTGTTTATGATTTAATAAATGGGCAAAAACAACCACCAACTACATTTTTTATATCTCAGTTCTTTCAGTCAAGCTATGTGAGTTAAGAATAGATTACAAAATACTTCATTAATATGTGTAATGTGGGAAATAACCGGATATTTAAAGAACTTGTCTGTTTTCGATTACAATTTTAAAATTTACTCCCCTAGATATGACCATAATACATTCCTTTCCTATTTGTACTTGTTACTCCAACAAATATATACAGTTAACAGTTCCCAATAGGTAATAATAATCATTACTTCCTTTCTGTAAAGAAACTCGTGTTGGTTTTATTTAATCCAGAATAACTACTTAAATAATTATAGTAGAAATTATAATGTTCTAATTTACGTGAATATAAGAATCATAATTGAACCGTTCTATTTAGAATGTTTGAAAAAATAGTAAGCTGCTAGTTTGTCTTCTTTACGTAATGCAAGATGTAATTTATGCGGTTACGTCATACAATATACTATTTGTTTTCAGAGTATTATCCTAACAGTAGTCATAAATTATTTGCTTTGATGCTTGTAAATATTTAATTAAATGCGTATCTCTGTTAACATAACGATAATGTGTCACGCACTTATATTAACTTTGAGTTTTTGTTCATACGTTATCGGTAACATCATGAAAATAAAAAAGGTACAACCTCAAACAATGGCGCGATTATCTTAAAACAGATAAATGGAACATGTATAAAGAAATTTCCTCCGTAAATATTTTTACTCATATTAGTACGAGACATAACTATAACCTTATGCGTCTATAATAATTGTTATAGACACATAATGTAGATTTAGACGTAGAGATTACAAGTTGCAGATGTAGGCCTGTTACTTAATTTTAGATTGCATGTAAGAATAATCGGTAATTATTGATTAGCTGTTAAACTGCGAACATTAGAATATAAAGGCGCTAAGTTTATTATAAATATATTTGAATGATATTTATCGATACTATACTACGTATTTTGGAAAACAAGGGAGCAAGTCTTTTAAAATGTGCTTAGGACTAGTATTTTAATATTGTACGTAAGTTAATATTACAAGCTCTGTGGAAATAATTTTTGTTATGGTTATTTCTGGTGGTGAACACAATAACGCGGAGATTATGACGATATATATTAGTTATCCTCCGGATAATACACGAATGTACTACCGAAAGACAGTTTAGTTTCGATATTCGTCTGTCTTTGCTCTTAGATATTTTACCAATTACACTTGATGGTTAAATTTGTTACAAATTCACAACATAGAATGCAACTGAAAAGGTTTTGGATTTATATTTCAGTGTTCCCCAAAGAAGTAGCATCAAAAATTGATTCAAACTTCAGAAATATATTAGTTTAAATATCGTGAAATTCTAAGAAAGGGTTGAATTAAAATATATTATATATCTGACATACGGTAGTTATTCATTTATGGCAGTGGATTCTCTTGCATAAGATTTCCATGAATATATTTCATAGTTTGTGTGTGCACGACTTTAAGTTGTTGTATACTTTCACTATCTCATGTTACTTTCACACTTACCACCTGTGTAGGTCACTCATGTCGGAAGTTTCTTGGAACTCAGATCAATA